GGGGGGGGGCGCTCGGGGGGGTCGGTGAATGGCTGGGATTTCTCCCTCTTCTCCCTCGCCTCGTCGCGCGTGCTTTCCCTCCCTTTTCCCTCCTTTGTTCGTCCCGTGTCGTCCCCCTCCTCGTTTCTCCCTCCCCTCCTGGGGTCGCCTCCTTTTTCGGCTTGTGGCGCCACCTTTCAATACCGGCCCTGCTTCCCTGTTGGGGGAGCAGGGCTGGGAACGGCTACAGAAGACCACCATGACCGCAGGAGGAGGAAGAGGAGGAAGAGGAAGATGAGGAAGAGGAGGAAGAGGATCGGCCCACCGAGGGGGCGCGGTCGTGGCCTAGGACACGCCGCGGCCCTTGTGACCGAAGAGGAGGAAGAGGAGGAGGAGGAGGAGGAGGAAGAGGAGGAGGAAGAGGAGGAGGAGGAGGAAGAGGAGGAAGGGGAGGAGGAGGAGGAAGAGGAGGAGGAGGAGGAAGAGGAGGAGCAGGAGGAGCGGGAGGAAAGGAACGATCGATGCCTCTTTGGGTGCCTTTGCTGCCTCTGCACGGGCGCCCGTGCTGCGATGCTTGGCCATCACGGCGCGCCCGCCCGCGCCCGAGGAGCGCGGCGGCGCACCGGGCCCCTCGCAGGGCGGCCCCCTCGCCCCCCCCCCCCGAGCGGGGGCACCCATCCGGGGCCCCACAGCGGTGAGCACACGTGCGGCGGACACCGTCCTGCAGGCCATTGCTGTAGGCACTGGGGGGACCCGGGTCCCGAGGGCAACGGGTCCTGGACCCCTGGGGGCCTCCCCCCCAGACCAGCTTTCCGTCCCGAGCCGTTCTCTGGCGGTCCCCGGGCCCGTGGAGGGCCCCTGGAGGCCCAAAGCGGGGGAGCAAGCTCGGGACCCGTTTCCCTCGGGACCCGCCTCCCTATGATGGCGACTGGCATGTGCCCCTTGCAGAAGAGCACCGAGCACTCCTGGGCCCGCTCGCCGGGCCCCCCGGGCCAGGGCGTCCACTGGGAGGCCCCCCAAACTAGGGGGAAAACAAACCTACCTCGCTTTTGACCACCCTCGCTTCGAAGAGATACCAAACGATGCCAAACTACGGTCTGTACTGGTCAGGCCGCTTGACGAGAAGGCGCGTGGTATGACTTGGTTTTGCCTGGAAGCGAAAGCGGGGTAGGTACTTCACGCTCTGAAAAACAGCCTCCGCAACCGCGGGCGGGGGGCGCGCGCCGCTGGCCTGGGCGCGGGCGCCTGCGCTGGCGCGGGCCGCGGCGGTGCGAACGCCCGCGCCGGCGAGGGCCGCGCACCCGGCACGCTCGGTCCTCCAGGGCGGGGGTGGGAGGGCAGGAGGGAGGAGGAGGAGGTGGGAGGGGGGAGGAGGGAGGAGGGAGGAGGAATGGGAGGAGGAGGAGGAGGAGGAGGAGGATGAGGGGAAGGAGGAGGAGGAGGTGGAGGGGAGGATTAGGAGGAGGAGGAGGAGGAGGAGGAGGAGAAGGGGGAGGGGGAGGAGGAGAGGAGGAGGAGGAGGAGGAGGAGGAGGAGGAGGAGGAGGAGGAGGAGGGGAGGAGGAGGAGGGAGGGGGAGGAGGAGGAGGAGCTTCGAGCTATCCGACGTAGTCGTTAGGAGGAGGAGGAGGAGGCGGAGGAGGAGGAGGAGTGGGAAGAAGACTCAGCGAGAGAACCAATGTTGGGGTAGAGCAAGTCTGGAGTCGATCCCCTACTCAAGGACTATCAGAAACCGATCAGGAGCGAAAAACTCCCCCCGGGGAAGGGGTCGGGACCTCTGGGGCAGCGCACGGAACAGAAACGGCGTCGTCGATTGTCGGGACTTTGCGCGCCGCCAGCAGACCCTGAGATTCCACGTCGCGAACAGAATGCAGCATCGAAGAAAACCACGGCGCCAGAGCCCTAGACCCCATCTCTCTGCGGCATTTATCGAGACTGATCAATCCGTGAGAGGAGGCGGAGGAGGAGGAGGAGGAGGAGGGGGAGGAGGAGGAGAAGGAGGAGGAGGAGGGGGAGGAGGAGGAGGAGGAGGAGGAGGAGGAGGAGGAGGAGGAGGAGGAGGAGGAGGAGGAAGAGGAGGAGGAGCAAGAGGAGCAAGAGGGGCCACGGGGCCAGAATGAGGGCCGCACCGCGCGGTGTGGGCAACATGCGAGGCCGGGTCTTCAGGGCTCCGCGCGCCGCCGGCACCTGGAAGCCACACAGGCGCTGCAACGACCAACCGCTGCTCCTCGGCACCTCCCTTGGGGACGTCGCCTGCACACCAGCACCGAGGTAGAAGAAGAAGAAGAAGAAAAAGAAAAAACAAACAAACAAACAAACATTAATAAACTTTTGGCGCTCCGTGCAGATTCCTTGGATTCGCGCTGACTGGAACCCCCTCCCTGGCGCGCGCAGCACGCCAGGGGCGGCGCCGGAGGCGCCGCCGGAGGGCCCAGTCGCGGATCCAAGAAATTCGCGCGCAGTGCCAACAGTTCATCTTTATGTGTTTTTTCTTCTTCGACGAGGCTGACCAGACCCAGCACCTCCGCATACGCCCTCCAGCCCTTGAAGGCATGAGCACCGATCCTGGGTCCACCGGCCAGAACACCCCGAACCGTACGACCACTCGAGGGTACCCCCCTCCAGCGTGCACGAGAGCATCCAGCAGGCACGCAGAACACGAGGGCACCCTCCACGAACCGACCTCGATGTGATGCCTCGGTCCGACCGTAAGAACGGAACCAAGAGCGGCGTTGGTCCACAGCAGGATCCCTCTTGCTTCCCCCGTCTCCTCTCGGCAGCCGACCACGGGTAACTGCGCCAGGAAGTGGAACCTTCCGCCGCGGACGCCCGCCCCAGGGCAACAGGAACGCTCGTACCACCCTGGCGACACGTGCAAGACAATGCCACGACGAGAATACTTTCGGGTGTGGATGCCTCGAGAATCTCTGAGATCCGGCGGCTCTGGAGGACGTCTCGGGCGCCGCGGCATTCTCGGAGCGCTCCGGAACGCTCTGAGAGCGCTCTGGAATGCCCTGGAACAACTCGATCCTCGTCTTCGGTCGGGCGTGTCCTCCTACAGGCGGACTTGGGAAGAAGAATGCCAAATACTCAAAATAGATTGAATCATAATCCAAAATAGTCGGAACAAAAGGCCCCATAATAGTTTTTGCCTATTCTTGAATATTCCTCCTGTGGAGGGACATGCCCGACTTACCTCGATCCTCGTCCCAGCCCCGTCCGAGTCTGGGCTGCGAGCTCGCCCGCCGCCCTGGACTGGGCGCATCCCGCGGAAGCAGAAGAACAGGCCTGGACGTCACGCTGCTGCTGGGCCTCGTCCGCTCCGGCCATGTGACTGTTCCGGTCCGGATCCACGCAAGAGTGACCCTGGGCTGAGGTCGGGCAAGACCCCCTACAGGCGGATTCTGGACGCAGAAAAGAAACACCCTATTCCGATCTTCTTGATAATCGTCGGGGGGGCGTCACCCCCGCCGAAACATCGACCCCCGTCGCGGGCAGCCACCGCGCGCCAGAGGCGCTCCGACCCCCGTCGCGGAGCGGCGACGAGGCGAGGCTGACCCCCGTCGGGGAAGTGGCTCCCACGCTTGGTAAGAAGCCCAGAGTGGGCACGAGTGACCCTGGGTTGAGGTCGGGCATGTCCCCTACAGGCGGATTTTGGACGAAAAATAAACTTCGTCAAAGCATGCGCCAGAACATGCAAAAATAGTAAACACAATCACAAAAATCGTTCCCGGACGATCTGCTGACCATTTCTGAATTCTCCTCCTGTAGAGGGACATGCCCGACTCGACCCTGGGCAAGAATGAGCTTTGGTGCGTGGACTGAGGGGGCGCAAGGTGGCCAGATCCAAGCGCGCAGTCCGCCGCTGTTGTATCGCGCTCAGGGATCGGGGAGACGTAAGACCGTCAAAATCCAGGACGCGCTCGTCAACAAAAAAGTCGGCGAACCCGAGTTCCGGCTTACTCGAGTCTTACGTGATTGGGGGGGACCCCGATGAAAATGCACCCAAAGGTCACTCGGGCGAAGGGCCCCCCTTAGGGAGCCCACAAAGAACGTACGCGCCCTGCTATGCACATGAACACGGCCCCTGGATCCGCGAGACCCGCCGCGTGATACGAACATTCGCGAAATTCGAAAACTCGAAACCAGCGTGGATTCATGTACGTGTTCGTCCTCCTTTCGCTCCTGAACTCCTACGCGTGGTCGATCCGTGCGCGGCCCCCGAGGCCCTGGCCCCTTCCAGCGGGGCCGTTCCTCGGCACGGCTCGCTTGTTGGCGGCCCCGCGGCCCGCACACGGACCCCAGAGGCCGCAAGCAGGGGGAACAGAAACGCCCGGCTTAAATCCTCTTGGCGAAGGACCCCCAACCCTTAGTGGGCCCCGGAAACGCCAGGGCCGTTTTTCCACCGTTTCCCAAAAAATGTCCCTTGAAAATGGAAACGGTAAAAAAACGGCGACCGGAAACAACAACAAAAACGGCTCCAGGATTGGAACCGGAGCCGGAACAAATAAAAAAAACGGCGACAACACCGGTAAAAAAACGGCGTCGGAACCGGCAAAAAAAACGGCAAAACGGAACCGGTAACAAAAACGGCCCTGTCGTTTCCAGGGCCCACTAAGCTCCAACCATGTGCGAGTGCGACTGCAAAAAGGAAGGGAGGACGAAGGCGGGGGGAGCTCTTGGTGACGCCACGAAGCGTGGGAGGGGCGTGCCCAAGTGGGCGGGGGGACGTGTGCGGACTTTGCCACTGGGGCCTTCAGCAGTGGAGCTCCTCATGAAGCCACGGAGCGTGCGAGAAATGTGCCGCAATGGGCGGGGGTCCAAGTGCTGGAATGAGGGAGGAGGAGGAGGACGAGGAGGAGGAGGAGGAGGAAGAGGAGGAGGAGGAGGAGAAGGAGGAGGAGGAGGAGGAAGATACAGCGGGAGGAAGGCACTCGGGGCGCTGTCTCTACACAACGAGGACCCGACTTCCTAGGATGACTGGGAACAGAGCGGCGCGTCGGAGATCTCGAAGCCGCGGGCAGTCCTCTTCGTGACGCACGGCTCGCCCGGCCGGCACGTGCGCGTGTAGTGCGCGCAGTTCTGCCCATCCCAGCTCACGGTCTGCGTGACGTTGGTCCTGCGGCGCCGGCCCGACGGCCGCGGCCGCGAGCCGGGCAGAGGCGCCGGGGGGGGCATCCGACGTCGTGTTTTTTGTCTCGCAGCGTTGGCGACGAAACTGGCCATACGCACGGTGACAGAGCGCGTCCTCGTGCGGCAGCCTGCGCGGGCCGCCCGCGTGGCACACCGCGCGGAGAGGACAGCGCTCTCCCGCGCGGCCCTGCAAGGGAAGCTGACGCGCAAGGTGTCCGCGCAGGCCAACCCGCTCTCTTCCGTCGCTCGCGCGGCTCCCGAGTGGGCGGACAGCAGCGGGGGGGCAGGAAGAGGTGGGGGGGGGGTCGGGGACTCCAGAGAAGTGGTCCTGAAGCGGGACCTATAAAAAAGAGCCCCCCAGCTGCCACAGGGGGCCCCCAAAGGGGGACGAACGAAAGCTGCACGCCCCTCCACCGACACATGTGTTGCCCCTCGTCCTCCTCCTCCACCTCCTCCTCCTCCCCCTCCTCCTCCTCTTCCTCCTCTTTCTTCCTCCTCCTCCTCCTCCTCCTCCTCCTCCTCCTCCTCCTCCTCATCATCATCATCCTCCCCCTCCTCCCCCCCCCTATGTGTGCAGGAGCCATGGCACGCATGCCACTTGGTTGCCCCCCAGCTTCTCGAGGGCGTCCAAGAGGGGCGTTCGCCACTCACGACGGCGCGCGCGCGGCGCGGCAGTGGCGAGGCGCGCACGGCGCGGCAATGGCAGTGGCGCGGCACGCGCGGCTGGCGGGCACGGCGCCCCGCGGGGCATCGCACCTGGACGGGCTGGCGGGATGCGCGGAGTGCGCCGCGACCCGTCACGGGGCATGCTGGCGGCGCGCAAAAGGGGGTAGGGGGAGGGGGGAAGGCTTCTTAGGAGCACCCTGCTTCTTAGCAGGCCTGGGCCTTACGTCTATAGAGAAGGCCCGTGCCTTCTAAGAAGCAGGGGTGCTTCTAAGAAGCCTTCCCCCCTCCCCCTACCCCCCTCTGCGCGTTGCCGAGCATGTGCGTGCACGGAATCCTCGGTCGTGCTGGCCCTGGAGAGGCCAATGCTGCAGTTCTGGCGCGGACGTCAGCTCCAGGGGTGCCCATCGTCGAAGTCGTCGCCGCCGTTGCCGACCTCCTCCGACCCGTCCAACTCCCCATGCTCTCCCTCCTCCCCCCCTTCTCTTCCCTGGAGGTCGACCTGGCTTCCTCCTCTGGCGGCCTCAAGAAGCCCCAGGAAGGCCGAAGGCATTGAAGGAAGCTCGATCCTCCTCGCCGTGCTTCTCCCCCTCCCTCTTCCTCCTCCTTCTCCTCCTCGCCCTCCCGCAGTTCCTGCTCATCCTCCTCTCCCTCCTGCCCCTCCTCACACCTCCTCCTCCTGCTCCTGCTTCTCATCATACAAAGCATTACAAGACATAGCATAACAGACATCTACTACAACATGACAATACGGAGCATCGCATAACAGAGCACAACCTGACATAATACATCGCAGCAAGGCATGCTAGAGCATAACAGCGCATACCACAATGTGAGCCAGCGTGGACCCCCAGCAGTGTGTTTCTAGCAGTACAGGTTGTGCAATCTAGGTGGATCAACCAATGTGGTGCAGTCTACGTGGTGCAGCGTGTGCTGCGCAGTATATATGTTGTGCAGCAGATGTCGTGCCATAGGTGCTGTGCAATATGTGTGGGGTGAGCTGGGGGGTGCAGTCAATCTGGTATTATACCTGTGGCGCAATATATGTCGTGCAGTGAATGCCGTTGAATCTGTACAGTGCAGTCGGTGTGGTGCAGTCTAGGCAGCGACGGGGCAGCGACGGGGCGGCAACGCCGGCCACGTGGCCGCCAGAGCTGCGGACGAGCCCAGATGGCGGGAGGCGACGAGGCGGCGACGGGGCGGCGACGGCGGCCGCACAGCCGCAGGAGCGGCAGACGGGCTCAGTTTGTCGGAAGAGAAGCGAGAAGCCCTGCACGCACGCCCTGCTTGGGGAAAGCAAAAGCACGCACCATAGCATAGCAACATGAATACTGCGAGTGCGAATGCTGCGGGAAGAACAGGTCACGATATCCAACAGTAAGCGGGGGGATACCACATGATATAACATAGCCGCTCGCTACGTAATGCAACAACCCGTGCTACTATTGTACGGCCCAGCATCACACCTTGAAAGGACGGATATGTCAGAACAGAGGGACATAACAACACAAACTACTAGGCACCATCTTTGGAAATCGCATGGCATACCATATGTATATATACATGTGGTACATAGCACATACCTAAGCATAAATGGTCACACTCGATCAAGATATAAGCTGACGCTTAGAGCATACTAGGATAGACTTGAGCCAAGTACAACCTAACAGAACATGGCATAACACAACCCACGCATAATAACATGAACATGTGGAGTAGAATATCAGATAAGAGAGTTTAACGTAAGACAACATACACAATATCAAACTACACGACACCTGAGCAGGAAGAATCATAGGAGAACACAATAACCTACACCCGAACGGGATGATGTCGCACACGGTTTGGCAGAACACAGGGAAACGTGTGCAGTCGCACATGACGTGTTGCAGTCGCTCTGGTGTGTTGCAGGTAGCGACGTGTTAACCGATCCCTATCCAACGCGACGTGCGCGCCGAGGTCCGGCTGGGCACAGTGAACCAGCCAAGCGCAGCCGCTACCATGCGGACGCCGTGCCAGCCGTGGCAGGCCCCACGCCGCAGCGCGGCCACGCCGAGCGCAGGAGAGAACAGAACAAATGTGTGAGACGCGGAGAGCAGAACCGAAACAGCACACAACGGAGTATAACTCGGCGGCGAGCGAGGGGGGGAAATGAGAAGGGGGAGGCCTTCTCAAAGGCTCGGACGTCCCCAGGCCTCCTGAGAAATTTGCTGAGCCGTCCCCGGAGACACGGCGAGCTTCTCAGAAGGCGCGAGGGCCTCTGAGAAGTCCCGCCGCCTTCTGAGAAGGCCTTCTCCTTCCCCTCCCCCCTCGCTTGCCGCCGAATAATACAGCGGCAACTGGTCAGAAGGCGTCTCATTACACGCGACAGGCGTGCCGAGATGAGAGCACGGTATGACAGCATCTGAGACTAATAAAACACCGGTCAGGATAACACACAACGCACAGAAGAGAGCGTGCATGGCATCGCATAACATACCAAACCATAACATGCTGCAACATTATATACAACTATGACAATTAAAAACACACATAATACAACGAGTACATGGCATAGAACATCACGCAATAACATACAACATCCCATGCTAACACATGTTATGGTATCCGCTGGCTCCCGCTTGCGGGGGGTGAAAAGGCGTGGGATACATTTAGCTGTCCCCCTCCCCCTTTCCCCCGTCCTTAGGGCTCAACATCCGACTAGAGAGGGGGGGGCGGGGGGTGGGGATCCGAGCTTGTCAACGCGTCCCCAGGGCCGCCAGAGCTTCCAAAAAGCCCCAAGACGGCTCCAGAGGGCCCAGACGGAATGCCAAGCCAGTCGAAGATTGCTTCGAGACGGCCCACGAGGTCGTCAAGACGGCCCAAGAGTGCGTCCCGAGGACCGCCGAGGCGGCTCCAAGAAGCAAAAATGGTCAACGTCGCGAGGAAAACATGCATGTTTGGCACACTCGCCTTTTTCGTTGCGGCAGCGTGCAAGATGGCCACCACAGGGCCCCAAATATCGTCCCAAGAGGGGACACGGGGCTCCTAAGATTACCCCAAGACGGCCCAGGAGGCCCCCAAGACTGCACCAGGGGACCCCAAGACGGCCTAGAGACGCCCACAAGAGAATGCGAACTAACATTTCGAGCCGTTCCTCCCAAGATGGCCCGAAGATCCCCCCAGAGGCCCCCGAGGCGACCCCAAGAGGCCCCAAGGGGCTCCCAAGAAGTACTCAAGAGCCTCCCAAGAAGACCACACATGCGCGCCAGATGCCACGAAGAGCCCTCCAAGATGCACGTAAGAAGCAGTTCAAGAGCCCCTCAAACATCCTCATATGCACCCAACGGCCCCAGGCCCCCGACCCAGCAAACAACTTCCACGATCGCGGCAAGCTCTCGCTGCTTTTGGAGATCGGCGGAATGGTGTAAGCCACTTGACTATTAGAAGACAAACTACCAACCTTGAGGAATCGTATACTTATACTACCACCCTTCGGGTGATAAGGAGGTTCGGGGGGGGGGAACCAACGTCTCACTCGATCGGTCTCACTATCGATCTCACTATCGATCTCACTATCGGTCTCGCTCGATCGATCTCACTCGATCGATCTCACAATCGATCTCACTCGATCTATCTCATTCGATCGATCTCACAATTGATCTCACAACCGATCCCACAATCGATCACAGAATCGATCTCACATTCGGTCTCAATATCGATCTCACGATCGATATCACAATCGCTCTCACAATCAACGTCATCATCATCATCAGCATCAACATCATCAACATCAACATAATCACCAACATCGTCATCATCATGAAAGCACCGCCAGCATCATCATCATCATCATAAACAGCATCATCAACGTCAGCATCATCATCGGGACAACATCATCATCATCACCATCATCATCTCATCATCAACATCATCATCATCAACATCATCATCATCATCATCATCATCATCATCATCATCATCATCGGGACACAGTCGTCGTCATCATCATCAGCAGCACCATCAGAATATCATCATACTCGGGACACCATCATGATCACCATCGTTCGCATCATCAACAGCATCATCAACATCGTCATCATCCTCGGGACACCATCATCATCATCATGATCATCGCATCATCATCATCATCATCATCATCATCGACATCATCATCATCATCAACCACATCATCATCATCACCATTGGGCCACCATCATCATCATCATCATCATGAGCAACATCATCATCAACACCGTCATTATCATTATTATCATCATCGGGGCACCATCAGCATCACCATCATCATCATCACCATCATCATCATCAGCATCATCATCGGGACACCATAATCATCGTCAACATCATCATCATCATTACCGCCTGGACACCAGTTCCATCAACCTCATCATCACCAACATCATCGGAATCATCATCATCATGATCATCATCATCATCATCATCATCATCATCATCATCATATCATCATCATCATCATCATCATCGGGACACCATCATTGTCATCATCATCAACATAATCATCACGAGCATCATCATCCTCATCATCGGGACACTATCGTCATCATCATCATTGACACCATCATCAACATCATCATCTTCATCGGGACACCATCATCATCATCATCATCTCATCATCATTATCATCATCATCATCATCATCATCATCATCATCATCATCATCATCATCATCATCATCATCATCATCATCATCATCATCAATCATCTCATCATCATCATCATCATCATCATCATCATCATCATCATCATCATCATCATCATCATCCTCGCGGGACACCGCGGGACACCGGCGGGACACCTCGGGACACCGCGGGCCACCGCGGGACACCGCGGGACACCGGCGGGACACCGCGGGCCACCGGCCGCCCGGAAGGGAGACATTTGGTCCGGCCGCGCCTCAGCCACACGGGACTTTCGCGGGACACCGGCGGGACACCGCGGGCCACCGGCCGCCCGGAAGGGAGACATTTGGTCTGGCCGCGCCTCAGCCACAGGAGACTTTTTCTCGCCCGCCCACGCAGCTTCGCCTCGCCCGCCCGCACGGCACGCACGAACACGAAACCGAAATCGATTTCCCGGTGGGGGGCTCTCCGTTCCACTTCGATCTCACCCCCTCACCTCCGATGATAAAGTAAAAGAACAGAACATCACGTGCCATCCTGCAATATGCCATACTGCTACATCATATTAAAGATATGATATAGACCCTACCATAGGATCATCGAGTACAAACAAACCATAACACCCTACAAACGCATCGTGGCATCCAAAAGAGTGTAACAATCTCGTCCACCAATTGCTCCGCCACCATTTGCTCTGTCCGCTTCATCCGCACGCATCTTTTCAATAGGCGCGCGCGCCGTTGGGGACAAACGCCGAAGGCTTCGGTGGGTATCGCTCGAAGCAGGATAAGTTTGGCCTCGACGGCAATACCACAGGCTCAATACCACCAACAGCGCGGGACCTGCTGGCGGAGGGCTGCACGAAAGCCTGCAGCCCAAGCTGGAGACAGAGCGACGGCGCCTGGGACACCGGAGGGTGGAGGACGAAGACAACGCCCGACCAGATTCCAACTCCCCCTGCCTCGGCCTGACCCTCCCCTTCCACCACCGGTGTCCTCTCCGTCCCACCGTCCCCGCCATCCAGTGACGGTGCGTGCACGCGTGACAGGATCCAGGTCGGCTCCTCGGGCGACTCCCTGGGACGCACCCTCGAGGCAAAGATGGGGCAGGGAACGCGCACCTTCTCCCACTGCGGTAGCCTTCCCACCCCAGCACGTGGGAGAGAGGAGGGGGGGAGGATGAGGGAAGGAGGACGCGGAGCAGGCAGAGGAGGATGCCAACGAGGAGGAAGACGCGAGAGATGGAGAAAAGGCGGAGGAGAACGACAAGGGAGGGGGGAAGAAGGGAGGAGGGAGGAGAGGCCGTGAGAGGAGGGAGGGGGGAACGTCCAGGGGGCAGTCAGGGAGGAGGGGGTGTTGAGGCCCTGGGGCGCGAGGATGAGGAAGAGGGGGAGGAGGTGGGAAGGGGAAGGAAGAGAGGGGCGGAGAGGAGACGAGAGGAGACGACAGTAGAGAAAACGGAGAAGGGCGCGGGGCGTGGGGGAGGCGCTCCCGCGCGGCAATGCGGGCCAGGGAGTCGCGGGCGCCACAGCCACTGGCCTCCAGCAAGGCCCACAAGAAGGCGCAGAGCCCCCTCCTCCTCCTCGTCCGCCTCCCTCCGCCTCCTCCTCCTCCTCCTCCTCCTCCTCATCTGCCTCCTCCTCATCTGCCTCTTCCTCCTCCTCCTCCTCCGTAGCCAATTTGGCTCAAGCAACATCTTGGCTCGCGTGGCCAGCTGGCCTTGCCCCAGCTCCTCCGACCGCCAGCCCTGTGCGTCATGGAGCGTGCCGCCTGCCTGGTGACCGCCTCGCGCACAACGTCGTCGATGACGAGACGGAGAAGGCTCCAGCGCTCTGCGGCCCGCCGGTCGCAGTGCTCCAGCCTGGAGCTGATCGCCGCACTGCAATGCGGGCCCCCGCCTGGCCTGGCCAGGCTCCGGTCGGCCCCTGCCGGGATCCTGCTGCCGGTGCTGGAGAACTTCAGAGAGGAGCTCTTCATCGGCAGGCGCTCAGACACGCTGCTCGCAGCCTTGGATCGCCACAGTTCTGGGGACAGCGTATGCGAGAAGTGGGAGGCGAAGATAGAGCCCGATCTGTCTGCTAGCCACAAGACTGGTTTCAGCGCGTGTGAGAGGTGGAAGGCGATGGACGAGCCCTATTCCACCAGCTACAGCGCCGAGGTCAAGGCAAGCGAACTAGGGATGGCAGAGCAGGAGGCGCAGTGCGAGAAGAATGAGGCGAAGTTAGAGCCCGTTATATCTAACCCTATATACCCTAGCCACAGCCCTGCGGACAGCGCCTGCGAGAAGTCGGAGGCGAAGTTGCAGCCTGATATGATCAGCTACAGCATTGAGGTCAGGGCGTGCCATAACAGGAGGCCTCAGCCAGAGCCCGTCGCTAGCCACAACACTGGGACCAGCGCGTGCGAGAGGTGGAAGGCGAAGGACGAGCCCGACACCGCCAGCTACAGCGCCGAGGTCAGGGCATGCGATAAATGGACGGCGAAGCAGGAGCCCAGGGAATCGTGTGAGCAGTGGAAGGCGCAGATGGAGCCCGTCCGCATCACTAGCCACAGCCCTGGGGACAGCGCGTGCGAGAAGTCGGATACGAAGATCGTGCCCGACATGTGCACCCACAGCGTTGCGATCGACACGTGCGAGGATCAGGATATGAAGGTAGAGCCCGTTATCTATAGCTACAGCCCTAGCCACAGTTCTGGGAACCACGAGTGCGAAAAGTTGGAGACGAAGGTAGAGCCCAACGTGCTCAGCTCCAGCGCAGCGATTAGGGCAAGCGAGAATAACGAGTGCGAGAAGCCCCACTAGACGTACCTAGGTATAGATGGTCAGTGGCGAGCCTTTCAAGATTTCGATGAATACGGTAATGATGCAGTAGAGAGACGTTACCAACAATACGTCCTCAACCACAAGAGCGTCCAGAAGTTGAAGGTATTCGATCGTTGCGCGATTGTCAATTTCAGCACGATGACCGTCAAATTCCTGGGCGCTACAAAGAAGCAGAAGATACACAGAGCTCTTGTACACTCTGAGGGCTAGTTGTGTTCAGTAATTCTCTCGTGTTTCGAATGCCTGCTGCCTGTGCGAATGCCGCAGGCTGCAATCGGAATGCCAGATAGAGAAGTATGAGTGCAGGTCGACGAGCCAGGTATCCCTGGTGCTTCCCTGCAGCAGGCCAGATCGACGAGGCAACGGCCCTTGTCCCAATTCGATTCGAGGCGAATCGACACCGAACCCACCCCAGCCGAGCGCTCGTCCTCCTCCTCCTCCTCCTCCTCCTCCTCCTCCTATGCCTCCTCCTCCTCCTCGTGCACCTCCTCGTCCTCATCCTCCTCCACCTTCTCATCCTCATCATGCTCATCATGCCCATGATCCTCATCATCCTCATCACCCTTATCTTGCTCTTCCTCCTCCTCGTCCTCATCATCAGCATCGTCGTTGCCGTCGTCGTCGCCGGCGTCGCCATCGCCATCGGCATCGGCATCGGCATCGGCATCGGAATCATCATCATCATCAGCATCATCAGCATCATCGACATCATCATCAGCGTCGTCGCCTTCGTCGTCGTCGTCGTCATCATCAACATCATCATTCCATCATCATCATCATCATCATCATCATCATCATCATCATCACCATCATCACCGTCAAAATCACCATCACGATCACAATCAACACAATCACCATCACCATCATCATCAGCATCAGCATCTGCATCCTCATCCTCACCCTCATCATCGTCATCACCATCATCATCATCGTCACAAACATCATCGCCATCACCATCACAATCATCACCATCATCAGCAGCAGTGTCACCATCATCATCAACATCATCAACATCATCCACATCATCGCAATCGTCATCATCGTCGTCGTCATCATCACCACCATCATAATCATGCTCGTCATCAGCGCCACCACCAAAACCATACCATCTCATCATCAACATAATCAGCATCACCAGCACCACAACCACAACCACCACCACCATCATCATCATCAACATCATGATCATAATCACCATGATCGTCATAATGGTCATCATCACCATCATAAGCATCACCACCAGCATCACTATCATCATCAGCACCACGATCCTGATCAGCATCGCCACCATCATCATCATCATCATCATCATCATCAGCATCATCATCATCAGCATCATCATGATTCTCATCACCATCACCATCACCATCACCACCACCATCATTATCATCATCACCATCACCACCACCATCACCAACACCAACACCACAATCAGCATCAGCATCAGCATCACCATCATCATCAGCAGCATCATCAACGTGATCAGCATCGCCATCATCGTCACAATCATCGTCATCATCAGAATCAGCATCACCATCGTCATCAGCACTGTCACCATCACCATCACCATCACCATCACCATCATCATCACCATCATCATCATCATCAGCATCATCATCATCATCATATTTAGCACCATCACCATCATCACCACCATCAGCATCAGAATCAGCATCAGCATCAGCATCATCGTCATAATCAGCATCGTCATCATCATCATCATCATCATCATCATCATCATCATCAGCATCATCATCATCATCATCATCGTCATCATCATTGCAATCATCCCCAAGAAAACATCACCCCCTTTTTGGTGGTTCGACTCCACTTTCTCTTGTCTCAGGAGAGGCGAAGCCCAGACAAAACAAGCCCAGACGGATGCCAAGTCAGCAACCTATCAGGCGAAGCTAAGTCCGGACGGAGCAAAACACCGAGACGGAGACCACTGCGCACGCGCTTACTCAGCACGGACCTCGCATCTTCCGATGTTCACCCTCGCCCGCGGCGGGCGCGCCTCAGCGTGGGGGCGGCGGGTCCTGAGGGAAACGGCTCCTGGTCCCTGGGGCATGCCCCCAGAACGAGATCCTCCCACTGAGCCGTTCCCTGACACTCCTTGGGCCCGAGAGCCCCACGAGCCCGAACGCGGCGAGAAACCTCAGGACCCGCCTCCCTCAGAACCAGCTTGCCACATGGGCGATATCGGAAACCCTGAACCCAGGAACTTTCCATCTCTTGGGGGCGTATGTTTGAGTTCCGCCACCTTTCGCCGCCCGTCCGTCCGCGTCCGCCAGCGGAGGCGGCCTCGTTTCCCTTCCGCCGAACGTCCACGGCGGGAGAGGTGACAGCTCCTTCGATCCTCGAAGGCAGGCCATGTTTAGAACGCCTCAGCTGGCGAATTCTCACCCTCTAATTGAAAAAATACACGCGTAAGCATACACTTTGGGCGACTTTCCTTCTTCGAACTCTGGATGTTCACTGCAGCGTGGAGGAGCGGGGTCCGGAACGAAGCAGCTCCTGGATCCCTCCAATTCCGACGTTTTCATACCGACCCTCCTCCTCCTCCTCCTCCTCCTCCTTTGCCCCCGTCCTCGAATGACCTGCACTCCTCCTCCTCCTCCTCCTCCTCCTCCTCCTCCTCCTCCTCTGCGCCCCGTCCTCGAATACCGACCCTCACCCACGGCGGGGGCACCCCGCGTCGCCTGGAGGCGCCGGTGCTGTTCTTCTGGGGAGGGGCGGCGGGCGCGGCGCGCGGCCGCTGCGCCGGCCGCTGCGGCTCCTGCGGGTGCGTCCGCCGCTGCAGCTCCTCGGTTGGGGGGGGGGGCAACGGGGGCAACGAGGCCAGTTCGATCCTCCTCCTCGTCCTCCTCCTCCTCCTCCTCCTTCTCCTTCTCCTCCTCATCATCGATTCTCGATCCTGGATCCACCCTCCTCCTCCTCCTGCTCATCCTCGCCCTCTTTCACTACCGCCTCCTCCTCCTCCCTCCTCCCTCCTCCCTCCTCCTCCTCCTCCTCCTCCTCCACCTCCTCGTCCTCCTCCTCCTCTTCTGCTTCATCTTCTTTGTTTTCGTATTATTCGTATTTGTCTTCGTATTCGTGTTCGTCTGCTATTCTTCTGATTCCTCCTCCTGCTTCTTGCATTAGGCACACTTCAGGAACACAGAAACTTTCGGGTGCGACAGCAAATAAAAACATCTGAATGCACCTCCTTCTCCTTCTCATTTTTCCTTATTCTTCTCCTTTTCCTTCTCCTTCCCATTTCCCCTCTCCTTCTCCTTCTCCTCCTCCTCCCCCTCCTCCTTCTCCTCCTCCTCCCCGTCCCCCTCCTCCTCGTCCTCTTCCTCCTCCTCCTCCTCAACGTCCTCTTCCTCCTCCTCCTCCTCCACCACCTCCTCCTCCTCCTCCTCCTCCTCCTCCTCCCCCCTGAGCGGCAACGTTTTGGGGGGGTAGGCTCAGGGATGAACGCATCGAACCCCACTCTCCCATTGATCGCCGTAGGGATCTGACAGCCCCACCCCGCCCAGGAACCTGGGGATCCGACATCGGGGGTCCATCGCCGGTCTATCGGCAGTGCATCTCCGATTCCAGTTCGATGCCCCCCCGCTCCTGAACCAGTCCCCCCTATCACTGCTCAAATATGGGAATGTCATCAAGACAATCCTGGAGGCCTCGCGCTGCACTTTGAGGCCCAATTTGCGTCGGATTGCGTCTGGTTTGCGTCGAACTCACGTCGGATTTACGTCGAACGTACGTCGGAGCATCGCCACGCGAACATCCTCCCATATCTGACAGAGCGGACGTGCAGACTAGACAAGACAGCGTCCTTCCTGCCCTGAGATCCGGGCGCTGCAATGTTAATGTTTGAGGGACGGCGATCCGTCGCAGTCGCGCGCCTGGGAAACATACCGCCCCTCCCCTCCAGGCAACTGGGGGGCGGGGGGGTGAAAGTCCCACCTCTCCCAGGGATCTGCACTGGGAGGAACACTCCCCCTGCCAGGGGGGGAGGGGCAGGCACAGACCCCCCGCCTTCCCCGGCTCGACCTGGGGAAATTCTGCAGGGCCTGCCCGGAATCCGAGGGGCGGGAGGGAGCGCGGCACCCCCCCCGTCGGGAGCGCGAAAACATGGATTAGCGATCCGTCGGTCGCCCGTCGGGAGCGCGCGGTCGCCCAATCCACGGATCGGGCGGGGTGTCCTCCCCAAAATGCGGCCGGTGCCGCCTCGCTCGGCGGCGGAAAGCCGCGATTTCCCACGGAAACGGGACACGTCGCTAATCCACGCCCCTGTGATCCATGTTTGCGACCGCCTGACAGGGGGAGGCGAGCTCGCACCTCGAGGCTTCGGGCTCCGAAGCTCTTTTGAGGAAGAGGGGGAGGGGGAGGGGGAGGGGGAGGAGGAGAGGGAGGAGGAGGAGGAGGAGGAGGAGGAGGAGGAGGAGGAGGAGGAGGAGGATCCATGCTTGCGATCGCCTGACCCTGGTTCGAATCGGGAGGACGAGGGGGGGCACAGCCTCCCCCCCCCCCACCCCGGGTTCGAGCTGGAGGAGAGGGAGGGGTGGGAACGCTCCCCTCCCCGCTCTGCATGTAGCCGATGTGGAGCTCTGTCGGAGCTTCGTCGGAGCTTTGTTTTAGCTTGGCTGAAGACCTGCTGGGGCTCTGCTTGAGCTTTGTTGGAGCCTTATTCGAGCTTCAGGACAGCTTTGTTTGATCTTTGACTAGGCTCTGCTTGAGCTTTGTTTGACATTCGTGTGAGCTTAAGTTGAACTGCGCTTGAGCTATGTTGGGTCTTTGTTTGAGCTGTGTATGAGCTCGATGTATGTATGATCTGTACTTGAGCTCGTTATATATGTGTTGGAGCTTTGCTTGAGCTTCGCTTAAGAGTTGGTTGTTCTTTGTTTGAGCTTTGTTCAAGCTGTGTTTGAACGTTGTGTGAGCTTTGTTGGGAATACGCTTCAGCTGTGTTGGAGATGTGTTTGGGCTTTGTCGGAGCTTTGTTGAAGCCGTGGTCGAGCTTTGGTTGAGTTGTGCTAGAGCTTTGCTTGAGCTTCATTTGAGCTACGTCTGAACTGTATTCAAGCTTCGTGTGAGACTTGGTTGAGCTTTGTTGGTGAGCGTTCTTAGTGTTCCTCTTCTTATTATTATTACTACTATTATTAACTATTATGAAGAATACTATTCTTATACGTTTCGACACAGGGCGGAAAGGGGGGGAGGGGGGGGATCTGGCTCTGGACCTTTGCTTGACGCGACTGGTTGCAGCAGGCCGTCCTATGGGGGAGGGACTTCACCTGCGTGAAACAGGTGTCAAAAACATCCAAGAGCTACTCCATGGGGCGGGAAGAGCGAGGGGTGCGAGAGCCCGCGGGGATCGACAAAAAAAAGGAATACAAAGAACGATCACTTCGAGCTCTGTTGGAGCTATGCTTGAACTTTCTTGGAGCTTTGTTGGAACTTGGCTGGAGCTTTCTTGAGGATTCGTTGGAGCGCTGGTTGAGCCTAGTGAAAGCGTTGCTTGAGCTTGATTTGAGCTTTGTACCAGCTACGTTTGAGCTGTGGCTGAGCGTTTGTTTGATCGTTGTGTGAGCGTTGCCTGTGCATTGTTGGTGCTGTATTTCAAAAATGTTGGAACTGTGTTTGGGCTGTGGTTGACCTTCGCTAAAGCTTTGTTTGAGACTTGTTCGAGCTTTGGTTGAGGTGTGTTTGAGCTTCGTTCGAGACTTGTGTGGGCTGTGTTTGCTTTGTCGGAGCTTCGTTCACGCTCTGATTGAGCTTTGCTGGAGCGTTGATGGAGCTTTGTTGGAGTTTTGTTTGAGCTTCGATTGAGCTGTGTTTGAGCCTTGCATGAGCTTTGCTTGAGCTTTGTTGCGAATCTGTTTCAGCTGTGTTGGAGATGTGCTTGGGCTTTGTTGGAGCTTTGTTGGAGCTGCGGTCGAGCTTTGGTTGAGTTTTGCTAGAGCCTTGCTTGAGCTTTATTTGAGCTGCGTCTGAACTGCATTCAAGCTACGTGTGAGACTCGGTTGAGCTCGGTTGGAGCTCTTTTGGTGGGCGTTCATATTGTTTTTATTACCTAACAGCGAAGACTGATAGGTTTCGAATGGTCTCAAAAGAAAGCATCTTGACTCCTCAGGGGGGTCTGGGCAGATGCCGGACGGGTGCCGGGGAGAATCAGCGGAAGTGTTTTAAGCAAACAGTTACACTCTTCGTGGTCTTCGAGGTCCCAGAACTCCATTCCTGGGCATGATTTTGAATGCCCGGAGCCAACTGTAGGCCACTTCGTGGTCTTCGAATTCCCAGAACTCCATTCCTGGGCATGATTTTGAATGCTCGGAGCCAACTGTAGGCCACTTCGTGGTCTTCGAGTTCCCAGAATTCCATTCCTGGGCATGATTTTGAATGCCCGGAGCCAACTGTAGGCCACTTCGTGCTCTTCGAGTTCCCAGAACTCCATTCCTGGGCATGATTTTGAATGCCCGGAGCCAGCTGTAGGCCACTTCGTTTCTTCGAGTTCCCAGAACTCCATTCCCGGGCCACATTTTGAATGCTGAGGCAGGCTGAGGCTGAAGAGGCTGAGGCAGGCTGAGGCTGAGGCTGAGGGCTGAGGCTGAGGCTGAGGCTGAGGCAGGCTGAGGCTGAGGCTGAGGCTGAAGGCAGACTGAGGCTGAGGCTGAAGCAGGCTGAGGCTGAGGCTGAGGCTGAGGCAGGCTGAGGCTGAGGCTGAGGAAGGCTGATGCTGAGGCAGGCTGAGGCTGAGGCTGAGGCTGATGCAGGCTGAGGCTGAGGCAGGCTGAGGCTGAGGCCGAGGCTGAAGGCAGACTGAGGCTGAGGCTGAAGCAGGCTGAGGCTGAGGCTGAGGCAGGCTGAGGCTGAGGCTGAGGCAGGCTGATGCTGAGGCAGGCTGAGGCTGAGGCTGAGGCTGATGCAGGCTGAGGCTGAGGCAGGCTGAGGCTGAGGCCGAGGCTGAAGGCACACTGAGGCTGAGGCTGAAGCAGGCTGAGGCTGAGGCTGAGGCAGGCTGAGGCTGAGGCTGAGGCAGGCTGATGCTGAGGCAGGCTGAGGCTGAGGCTGAGGCTGATGCAGGCTGAGGCTGAGGCAGGCTGAGGCTGAGGCCGAGGCTGAAGGCAGACTGAGGCTGAGGCTGAAGCAGGCTGAGGCTTAGGCTGAGGCAGGCTGAGGCTGAGGCTGAGGCAGGCTGATGCTGAGGCAGGCTGAGGCTGAGGCTGAGGCTGATGCAGGCTGAGGCTGAGGCAGGCTGAGGCTGAGGCCGAGGCTGAAGGCAGACTGAGGCTGAAGCTGAAGCAGGCTGAGGCTGAGGCTGAGGCAGGCTGAGGCTGAGGCTGAGGCAGGCTGAGGCTGAGGCAGGCTGAGGCTGAGGCTGAGGCTGATGCAGGCTGAGGCTGAGGCAGGTTGAGGCTGAGGCCGAGGCTGAAGGCAGACTGAGGCTGAGGCTGAAGCAGGCTGAGGCTGAGGCTGAGGCTGAGGCCGAGGCTGAGGCAGGCTGAGGCTGAGGCTGAGGCTGAGGCTGAGGCTGCAGCTGAGGCTGAGGCAGGCTGAGGCTGAGGCCGAGGCTGGAGGCAGGCTGAGGCTGAGGCTGAAGCAGGCTGAGGCTGAGGCAGAGGCAGGCTGAGGCTCAGGCTGAGGCAGGCGCTGAGGCAGGCTGAGGCTGAGGCTGAGGCTGATGCAGGCTGAGGCTGAGGCAGGCTGAGGCTGAGGCCGAGGCTGAAGGCAGACTGAGGCTGAGGCTGAAGCGGGCCGAGGCTGAGGCTGAGGCAGGCTGAGGCTGAGGCTGAGGCTGATGCAGGCTGAGGCTGA